CATTCCTTGAAGATGGGACATTCCGGCCATACAGCGGGGCAGAGGTGGCACGATTTCACACATATGCAGAATCCAGAGTTACATAATCCATTACAAAAGCAGAAACATTGCACAATTGTGCCGCGTCAGCTTTCTCTCCGCGCCGCCCATCACTGATGACCCCAATGTGTGTGAACTATAATAACACAATGTAATCATTCAGCATTTTCACCGCGTGCTTAGATATGAACTTATCTATTCACCGTTCTGTCTCTTCACAGGGAACTTTTCTTTTATCCGGCTTCTCCTCGCACAGCTGCCGGCTCGGCGTCTTTATTTTGGAGAGTTTTATAGATGAAGAGGCCTTTTTTTAACCCAATATGAAGACTTTTTTTTAATCGGCTAGATGCTTCGACGATCCCACACTGTGTCATTATTCCACGCACACAGAGAGCTCGGAATCTCACATGAAAAGCCCGTGAGTGAATCAGCAGGGTGGTGGAGCGGGGTCGCCCGCGGAGCTAGCGATTGAGAGCTAGGTCCCTTTAAAAAAATAAATAAAAGGGCCGGATCACCTACAAAGCAAGCTTTCTTCTCTTTGTCTGTCCAATCTAACGACATGATTATGTAAAATGGGACAGGGACCATGTAGTTGTCCCCTGACCAATATTCTCTGTAGCAGAGACACTCAGCCCTGCCTGAGCCCAAACACTGCATAGTCTCAGAGCTAATTATCCCGGCTTACAATACCCCATTGAGGGGATCCGAGCCGCCCCCGACCTTCTCCCTTTTAGCAGAGGGATAGCTGTGAGGCCTAATGAAAAATAAACAGGTCAAAGGGGTTTTTCTTTCTTGAACAAATGATTTTTTGCAGCATTTACAAATGAAATTAGAGGGTGCGGGGGGCCCCATCCGCCTGGCAGGGCTCTCATTGTACATAAGGACCCATTGACTAGGAAGAAGGATTGGGGGGGGGGGAAATCCGGATGTATAGATGGCGGACTCTGCACCATAGGAGCCATCGCAGTGCCACTCTGCATCGGAATGTCGCAGGAAAACCAGCATTATCGTAAGAATTACTCTACATATCGCCACTCCATTTCAGCAGGATTTCCAAATGATGAAAGAAGCGAAGTATAAAATAAATGATGAAAAACAGATTGCCAACAGGAACCAAAAAAAAAAGATATTACCTGAACTGCCATGGGTTGGAAGGTGTTCAGTAGTCCAGTCCAGTGGTGTCCCGAGGCAGGTGAGGGGGGATCGCGCCGCAGCGGGTGACACCGACCGCACGGGTCGCTCCACAAAAAGGTAAGTTGTAAAGCAAGCCGACGATCCCCACAGGATGGATCCAATCCATCCTGCGGGAATTGTTGGGTTTCTTTACAATGTACCTTTTCCTGGAGCGGGTCCGGTGTCACCCTGTATAGGTTGCAAGCCGACGATCCCCGCAGGATGGATCGGATCTGCAGATTGTGGAGCATAATGGATCGGACTTTGATCCATTATTCTCAATCCGCAGATCCGAACCATCCTGCGGGGATCATCAGCTTTCTTTACAACTTACCTTTTTGTGAAGCGGGTTCTGTGTCACCCCATATAGGTTGCATGCCGACGATCCCCGCAGGATGGTTCGTATCTGTGGATTGAGAATAATGTATCGGAGTCCGATCCATTATGCTCCCCAATCCGCAGATCCGCCCCATTCTGCGGGGATCATCAGAGGGGGTGTCACCAAGTGTTATCGCACCGGGTGACACCAACCCTAGGGACGCCCCTGGTCCAGTCCCAGGGTAACAGAGCTGTTCTTCCATGTGTAGCACATTCTATATTGTACCTTGATTATTGTCTACGTGTAGAATGCCGCAGTTGCTTGAGAGTCAGCTGAGAGTGCAGGAAAAAGAGGGTACTGGCTGGTATCCTGAAGAGTTTTTTCCATCCTTTTCTGTGCTAAGAGGAGAAGAACGTCACCAGCACGCCGTGGATCTCCAATGTGGGTCCAAAGCTTCATCGATCGCATTGTTACAGCAAGAGCTATGATTCTGAGCCTCACAGGTGAGGCTGCTGTTAGAAACCACGGGGCCCCATACAACCAACCTGATCCCTCCCCACAAAATAAAATTAAAAAACACAGGTTACTATGCTTCAGTTATGAATGAACACAGTGAGTGCTCAGTACTGATCACTCATTGCGTTCTCATTGTGATCAGTACTGATCACTCATTGTGTTCATTCAGGAAAGAAAGGGGCTGGTAAATGTGACATATTTACCGGACCCTTCCCACATTCTCCATGCTGAAGGATCCTATTGTGTGTTTGCAGCTGCCGATGGGAAGGAGAGGAGGGAAGCCGGGGGTGGGGGCACACAGGGGGGCCTGGGCAGCAGGGGGAAACATATGGTGTACAGGGAGGGTTATAGGTGCAGGAAAGGGAGGGGGGGGGGCAATTACTGGAACTGATCCCCTGTATGGCTCCCTATGCAGCAGCTGAAAGCCAGCGGGAGGGAGAGGAGAAGAAGCGGCTTTCAGCTGCTGCATAGAGAGCCGTACAGGGGGTTGGTTCCAGTAACTGTCTCCCCGCCGTGTCGATCACCCTTCCACCCACATCCAATTCTCCCAGCTGCCTGGGCCCCCTGCTAGCCTGGGCCCCATACACAAGGACTGGAGGTCAGGGGGTCAGTTCCAGTAATTGCCCCCCGTCTTGCTGATCACCCTCCCTGCCCACCACATCTGATTCACCCAGCTGCCTGGGTCCCCCTGCTGGCCTGGGCTCCATACAGGAGGACTGGTGATACCCCCTTATCTACAGCCCTGCTCGCAGGACCCCTTCATCAGCCACGTCACACGCCTGAAGAAGGGGTTGTGTAAGGCTCAGAAGCGTTGCTCTTGCTGTAACAATGTGACTAAGGCTCAGTTCACATTAGCTTTGTTAGCAGGCGTTTTGCAGGCGTGTGAGGGGCATTTTTAACGTTCCTCAAACGCCTATGAAAATTATACACATGGCAGCACACAGCGCTGTTCACACTGAAGCGTTAGCGTCGCAGCAAAATTGATGCCTCATGTTGAGTCATTTTCCATGGCTATACAAAGGGCTGCCGGGTGTATGGCGCTGTGTGCTGCCATACATAATGTTCGGCTCCGATGGCACCGCACAGAATTAGCATGTGATTTGCACAGGAATGTGCATGTGGTTCCTATGCGACGAATCAGCTGAAAAGCAACTGCAGCCAATCAGATGTTCAGGTATTCAGACAGATTTCACTTGTGCCCTTCGTGATCTCTGAGAGTGTATCTGGTGATCCATGAGCCAGTCTAATTTACACAGTTGATGTAAGGGGGCACAGTGATGGGGGCAATCCCTATAAGGGGGCACTCTGATGAGGGCAGTTGATGTAAGGAGGGGCTCTATCAAAGACACTGATGTAAGGGGCGCTCTGATGGGGACACCTGATGTAAGGGGCGCTCTGATGGGGACACCTGATATAAGGGGGGACTCTGATGGGGACACCTGATGTAAGGGGGAACTCTGATGGGGACACCTGATGTAAGGGGCACTCTGATGGGGACATCTGATGTAAGGGGCGCTCTGATGGGGACACCTGATGTAAGGGGCGCTCTGATGGGGACATCTGATGTAAGGGGCACTCTGATGGGGACACCTGATGTAAGGGGCGCTTTGATGGGGACACCTGATAAAAGAGGGCACTCTGATGTGGATCCTGATGTAAAGGGGCCCTCTAATGGGAACACCTGATGTCACGGGAAACTCTGGTGAGGGCAGTTGATGTAAGGAGGGGCTCTATTAAAGACACTGATGTAAGGGAGATCTCTGATGGGGACACCTGATGTGAGGGGGAACGTTGATGGGGACACCTGATGTAAGGGTGCACTCAGTTGTGTGAATCCTGATGTAAGGGGCACTCTGGAGGGGACATCTGATTTATGGGTGTACTCTGATGGGTATCCTGATGTAAGGGGGCACTCTGATGGGGACACCTGATTTAAGGGGTTCTCTGATGGTGACACCTGATATCAGGAGGAATTTTGATGGGGACACCTGACATAAGGGGGCACTCTGATATGGATCCTTATGTAAGGGGGCACTCTAATGGGGACAACTGATGTCAGGGGACACTCTGATGAGGGCAATTGATGTAAGGAGGGGCTCTATTAAAGACACTGATGTAAGGGGCGCTCTGATGGGGACACCTCATTTAAGGGAGATCTCTTGTGGACGCCTGAGTGGGGGGCACTCTGATGTGAATCCTGATGTAAGGGGCACTCTGGTGGGGAGATCTGTTGTATGGGGGTACTCTAATGGGGATCCTTATGTAAGGGGGCACTCTGTTGGGGACACCTGATGTAAGGGGGTACTCTGATGTGGATCCTAATGTAATGGGGTACTCTGATGTGGATCCTGATGTAAGGGGGCACACTGATGTGGATCCTGATGTAAGGGGGCACTCTGATGTGCATCCTGATGTAAGGGGTCACTCTGATGTGAATCCTGATGTAAGAGGCACTCTGGTGGGGACATCTAATGTAAGGGGGTACTTTGATGTGAATTGTGATATAAGGGGCACTCTGGTGGGGACATCTGCTGTATGGGGGTACTCTAATGGGGATCCTTATGTAAGGGGGCACTCTGTTGGGGACACCTGATGTAAGGGGGTACTCTGATGTGGATCCTAATGTAATGGGGTACTCTGATGTGGATCCTGATGCAAGGGGACACTCTGTTGGGGACACTGATGTAAGGGGGTACTCTGATGTGGATCCTAATGTAAGGGGTACTCTGATGTGGATCCTGATGTAAAGGGGCACTCTGATGTGGATCCTGATGTAAGGGGGCACTCTGATGTGCATCCTGATGTAAGGGGGGGGGTACTCTGATGGGATCCTAATGTAATGGGGTACTCTGATGTGGATCCTGATGCAAGGGGGCACTCTGGTTGGGGACACCTGATGTAAGGGGGTACTCTGATGTGGATCCTAATGTAATGGGGTACTCTGATGTGGATCCTGATGTAAAGGGGCACTCTGATGTGGATCCTGATGTAAGGGGGCACTCTGATGTGCATCCTGATGTAAGGGGTCACTCTGATGTGGATCCTGATGTAAGGGGGCACTCTGATGTGCATCCTGATGTAAGGGGTCACTCTGATGTGAATCCTGATGTAAGGGGCACTCTGGTGGGGACATCTAATGTAAGGGGGTACTTTGATGTGAATTGTGATATAAGGGGCACTCTGGTGGGACATCTGCTGTATGGGGGTACTCTAATGGGGATCCTTATGTAAGGGGGCACTCTGTTGGGGACACCTGATGTAAGGGGGTACTCTGATGTGGATCCTAATGTAATGGGGTACTCTGATGTGGATCCTGATGTAAGGGGCACTCTGTTGGGGACACCTGATGTAAGGGGGTACTCTGATGTGGATCCTAATGTAAGGGGGTACTCTGATGTGGATCCTGATGTAAGGGGGCACTCTGATGTGCATCCTGATGTAAGGGGTCACTCTGATGTGAATCCTGATGTAAGGGCACTCTGATGTAAGGGGGCACTTTGATGGAACCTGTTTTAAAGGGGGACTCTGATGAGTACTCCTGATGTAAAGGGCAACTTTGATACGACATCTGATATAGGGAGGCACAGGTTTTGTTTACTCCCCCCAATCTAATGACAATCTAATACAAAATAGTGTTCCCCAGGTAATGACACTGTGTGACAGACTGTCAGTGCCTCACACACAGTGTTGATATCATGCCCCCTGACATTTTTCTACTGCACCCCCAGATCAGATAGGCTAGGTGCGGTCCTGTTTATGACCTCAACCTAAATGTTCTGACAGACATTTAATTTTTTTTTTTCAATCGACGAGGCCCTGTCCATGCATAGTGATTGGGAGGGGGGGGGGGGGTAATTAAGTCTCATGTCAGGAGAATATGATGACCCTTTTCACGTTGGTTACATGACAGGACACAACGTCCCGACGGACCTGTCTACTGCATTTGCAGATTTCCACCGGCACATCTGCTGGATGTTCCATGATTTGGCGTAGGTCTATACAGGACATTCTCGGGGATGGTTACAGGACATGCAGCTTCTCACACATCAAAAAAAAACCAATTGCCTGTTTAATGGCTTGAGAAAGTACAAGACGATCTGGATACACTCGGCACCCCTTTGTATAGCCATGGAAATGTCTTCCTGGAGAGGAGAAGCACCATCTGAAGGGTCCATCCCCGGAGTGGTGTCTTGATGTCTAGATGGATCAGGCCAGATGGAAGCATTGCCAGTGAAGCCCAATAAAATCTGGTCTGCTGCGTGTTCTTCCTTCATTATTGGGGATGGGTTTCTTTGAACACACAAAAAAAACGAGGCATTAATTATGTCAATGGATACTGTATAAAAATAGTTTCTTCATTTGTAAGGGCAGCACGTTCCCATGTGTCTCTGCTTCTTCTGTGGTTCACTCCCATAAAAGAAAATCACAAAGTCTAGTCATCCCTAACTCCAGCCAAGCACACGGAAGGTTGGCCATACCGGGCTTGGATTTCGGCTGATTCTTGTTAATCAGCCCAAATTTGAACCATGGGTGGTCTTGTCCGCTCCACTCGGCTCAACAATTTTGACTTGAGCCCGGGTTCACACCGATGCGGTGCGGAATTCGCTGCTTCTTCTGTGCAATTCTGCAATCGTACCCCGTTCATGCGAACCGCTGTGTATGTTAACCCCTCGCCTACCGGGCACTTATACCCCCTTATTTACCAGGCCAATTTTCAGCTTTCAGCGCTGCCGCACTTTGATTGACAATTGCGCGGTCATGCAACATTGTACCCATATGAAATTTTGATCATTTTTTTCTCACAAATAGAGCTTTCTTTTGGTGGTATTTAATCACCACTGGGCGCTTTACTTTTTGCGATATAATATAAATAAAAAAAGTACAAAAAATTTGAAAAAAAAAAGTTTCTTTGTTTCTATTATAAAATTTTTCAAACAGGTAATTTTTCTCCTTCACTGATGTGCATTGATGAGGCAGCACTGATGGGCACTGATAGGCGGCACTGATGGGCACTGATAGGCAGCACTAAAGGGCACTGATAGGCAGTACTAATGAGGTGGCACGGATAGGCGGCACTGATATGCAGGCTGATAGCACTGATGAGGTGTCACTGATGATGGGTAGATAGCGGCACTAATATGCTGCAGCACTGATGACTGGCGCTGGGCACTGATAGGTGACACTGATGATGGTGGTACTGATAGACGGCACAGGTGGGTGGCACTGACTGCTGGGCATCACTGCTGGGCACAGGTGGGTGACTGGCGGCACTGACTGGGCACAACCGCTGGGCACTGGGCGGACTGGGGTGGCACTGACTGGGCAGCATCCTGGGCACTGCATCAGTGGTGATGATCGGCACTGGTGGGCAACTGCACTGGTGGGTGGGCACAGGCACTTGCATGGCACTGCTGGGCACAGGTGTGTGGCACTGCAGAGTGGCACAGGTGGGTGATCACTGCTGGGGCACAGGTGGGTGATCGCCGCTGCTGGGCCACAGGTGGGCGGAGATCGCCAGGGGGGACGTCATATGAGTCCACTGGCTGGGCACGCAGTGGGCCGGAATTCGGCTATGCTGCGGTGGCAACTGCTGGGCACCGATCAAATCAGGGCAAATCATCATTGCGATGGGCAAAATCGGATCGCAAAGGGTGTGAATACCTCTGCGATCCGATTCTAGTGCGGACCCAAAAAAGGCTTCTGCTCCTTTTTGGTGCGGATGTGGTGCGATTTGAGCCATACATAATGTACGGCTCCGATGGCACCGCGCAGAATTAGCATGTGATTGGCACAGGAATGCGATGCGGTTTGCTAGGCGATGAATCAGCTGAACAGCAACTGCAGCCAATCAGATGTTCAGGTATTCAGACAGCTAAAGGACGATTTCTTGGCCGAATAGTGACTGCAGCCAATCCGGTATTCAGACAGCCGCAAGAAGATTTCACAGCGTCAGAGCAGCATTCTGCAGCCAGAGAGGTAAGTATTTAGGATCTTATTTTGCAGGGAAACATTTTACTTTGAAGTTAAAGTGTTACTAAACCCCCAGCAGTACAATCAGTCTGTAGATGCAGTAAAGCATGCTTGTTATACTCACTGTGGAACCTAAGGGGTTAATCCGCTGCATTGTATAAAAAGGCTGTTGGATCCTGTCTTCTCTGTTCTTCCCCTTTTTCTACTGTCCCCAATCCATCTGCTGATAGAACAGAGCCTTGAGGGCAAGCTCCACATGCTCAGTTTAGTGTGTATTACTAAAGAGGTTTGTTTTTTCTTTGGGAGAGTGCATGTGATCAACACAATCACCAATGTCCAGACAGATGGTCAAGGGTCTTGCCGCCTCATAGGACAATCAGAGGAGAATGAAAATGCCTCCTACAAGCTTTAAACAGTGCTCAGCTGGACACTGATAGAAGTCACAAGACTGCTATATACTGCTGGTGAAAAAGGGGATTTAGCAGTTTGTATTTACTAAAATAATTGCATTTCCATGTTCTGTGTATTGTGGGAGAGCGGATATAGTGAATGCAGGGTCCGGTGAGATCGGATATAGTGAATGCAGGGTCCGGGGAGACCGGATATAGTGAATGTGGGGTCCGGGGAGACCGGATATAGTGAATGCAGGGTCCGGGGAGACCGGATATAGTGAATGCAGGGTCTGGGGAGACCAGGGGTCCGGGGAGAGCGGATATAGTGAATGCAGGGTCCGGGGAGACCAGATATAGTAAATGCAGGGTCCGGGGAGAGCGGATATAGTGAATGCAGGGTCCGGGGAGACCGGATATAGTGAATGCAGGGTCCGGGGGAGACCGGATATAGTGAATGCAGGGTCCGGGGGAGACCAGATATAGTGAATGCAGGGTCCCGGGGAGACCAGATATAGTGAATGCAGGGTCCAGGGAGATCAGATATAGTGAATGTGGGGTCCGGGTCCTTGGAGTGGATATAGTGAATGTGGGGGTCCGGGGAGAGCGGATATAGTGAATGCGGGGTCCAGGGAGAGCGGATATAGTGTGGGGTCCGGGGAGAGTGGATATAGTGAATGCCGGGTCCGGGGAGAGCGGATATAGTGAATGTGGGGTCCGGGGAGAGGGGATATAGTGAGCCGGGTCCGGGGAGACCGGATATAGTGAATGCAGGGTCCGGGGAGAGCGGATATAGAGAATGCAGGGTCCGGTGAGTGGATATAGTGAATGCGGGTCCGGGGAGACCGGATATAGTGAATGTGGGTTCCGGGGAGACCGGATATAGTGAATGCAGGGTCCGGGGAGACCGGATATAGTGAATGCAGGGTCTGGGGAGACCAGATATAGTGATTGCAGGGTCCGGGGAGAGCGGATATAGTGAATGCAGGGTCCGGGAGACCAGATATAGTGAATGCAGGGTCCGGGGAGAGCAGATATAGTGAATGCAGGGTCCGGGGAGACCGGATATAGTGAATGCAGGGTCCGGGGAGACCGGATATAGTGAATGCAGGGTCCGGGGAGAGACAGATATAGTGAATGCAGGGTCCGGGGAGACCAGATATAGTGAATGCAGGGTCCGGGGAGACCAGATATAGTGAATGCAGGGTCCAGGGAGATCAGATATAGTGAATGTGGGGTCCGGGGAGAGTGGATATAGTGAATGTGGGGTCTGGGAGAGTGGATATAGTGAATGTGGGGTCCGGGGAGAGCGGATATAGTGAATGTGGGGTCCGGGGAGAGCGGATATAGTGAATGTGGGGTCGGGGAGAGTGGATATAGTGAATGCCGGGTCCGGGGAGAGCGGATATAGTGAATGTGGGGTCCGGGGAGAGCGGATATAGTGAATGCCGGGTCCGGGGAGAGCAGATATAGTGAATGCAGGGTCCAGGGAGAGCGGATATAGTGAATGCAGGGTCCAGGGAGAGACCGGATATAGTGAATGCAGGGTCCGGGGAGACCAGATATATCCAGTTATATTCTGTGTATCCAAGAAAGAATCCAGGACTTTCCTACAGCAATCCACTGAGCTGACCACAACCAACTCTTGAGGGAGTCTATTCCACATTCTCACAGCTCTTACTGTGAAGAAACCTTTCCGTGTTTGGAGATTACATTTCTTTTCCTCCAGATGTAAAGAGCGCCCCCTTGTCCTCTGTGATGACCTCAGTACACACCAGGGGCGAACTGACAACTCATGGGGCACCCGGGCAATAGGGGATCATGGGGCCCCTGTTTCCTTGCCCAAACTCAAAAAAGCCTATGAAAAAGGTACCAGGGGCACCTAATGAGGCCCCCTACTGACCCCGGGCCCTTGGGCAGTGCCCGAGTTTCCAAATGGTCAGTCCGCCCCTGGTGTGAACCGATCCTAAAGCCCAACTTCTGGGCACAAAAAAAGTTTTCCAATGCAGTGGGGCTGTGCCCGCATCAAGGGTTAATTGCTCGTTTTTGTCAAGGGGGCAGGAAAAAGGAGAAATACTTACCTGATCCTCCCCATATAAGACTGGTCCCTGCAGCTTCCCCACTTCCCCTCGGTCTAACGGTCTTCAGCAGTAGACTGGTTCAGACGTCATCAAGCCGATAGACCTGGACTCTGGACAGGAGGATGTCAGGAACAGTCCACCGCTAGATCGTGAGGGGGGTGCTGTTTGCTGCTGGAGCGGAGGATGAGGTGAGTATAAGCTTTCTTGTCACCCCTGAACAAAACGAGCTATTAACCCTTGCAGTGTGGATACAGCCCCACTGAATGGGAAAACCTTTTTTTTTTGCCCGGAATTGGGCTTTAAGCCTACTTACTAAACTAGGAATGTGTGTAAGGGGAATATTGACATTGATTGATTCTATAAATAATCGGTATATTCATGAAAATCATACTTAATTCTCTTTTTCTTTTATTCCTATATGAGGATAACATGGCATGAGATTATTCCCTGGCACTCCACGGCCCTGACATCTCTCTCCATCACAAATGGCTCTTTGGTTATAGAGTAGACCAGTGTTTCTCAACCTTTTTTCAATCAAGGCAGCCTTTAAAATCATGGACAGTCCTGAGGCACCCTTTAAAAGTAAGAAGAAAAAGAAGACCTGAAAGAAGGGCCGGCATGACAGGGGTTAAAGGTGGTTGGGATGGGCAGAGTTCCATTAGCATAGGGGGGAGTTAAAAATAGTTAAGGAAGGAGTGGGGGGAGCCACGAGAGGTGGTCTTACAGGGTGTGGCAGGGGGGTTTTCAGTCTGAAGAGTTTTCACAAGGCAAACTTCCTTCCCGCCTTGTCTTGGTGGTGGTTGTGCCATATTGGTGCTGGGGGATGTCTGTCATGGTGCAAGGTCCTTGCTGGTTCATGTGGGCACAAGAAAAGGCATTTTGTAGGACCCCATCTGAGGTACGGCTTCCAGTTGGTCTGGTGGGAGTATCTGCGGTGGTGTCTCAGAGTCGGTGATGTTGTGGCTGGAGACCTAGTTAAGCAGGACGCAGGTATTCGTTTTTCTTGATGCCTATTGGGACCTTGAAAGAACGTATGTTTATACTGTGTTTTCTGTTATTTAAAAAATTGTATTTATTGATGGTTGTAATAAAAGGCCTGTTTTGGGCCATTAACTCCATTTGTTGTCAGTGTGGTTACTTAGGTTAAGTATGGGGGTAGGTATTGGTTTAGTGGGACTTACAAGCCATCTTTAGTCCCCTGGTCACAGTCTTGAAGCACCCCATTTTAGAATGGGGTGCCTCAAGACTGTCCATAATTTTAAAGGGTGCCTCGAGACTATCCTGAATCTTAAAAGGGCGCCCCATTCTAAAATGTGAAAAACTATAATATTCCATTTGTTTTATATAGCACAACAACATCCACACATGTAGGACACCCAACGTTACTCCATTTATTCTTCCAAAGCCAACACACTTTTGTACACTGGTGCTGACTAGTATTCCAATGTTTCTCTTCCCCCTCAGTTTTTCTCCATCACTGAGCTAATGTGGCCCCAGCATTGATGGGGAGGGTCAAACTAGAATGCTGTGTAGGCAACTGACATCCTCATCAACTGATGATGCCATTGGTTGTCAGGACACCGGTGGCTAGAAGGTCGTAAATGGTGCGCAATGAAAACCTGTGACTTTGTGTAACTAAAAGGCAGGCTTGTTCCACCCGCTGGCTTGTATACAAGTTTTGGGCAATTTTTAGACATTTTGCCAAGGCACCCCTGAAGAAACCTCAAGGCACCCCTGAAGAAACCTCAAGGCACCCCAGGGTGCCTGGGCACCCTGGTTGAGAAAGGCTGTATTAGACACATGGGTTTGGTGTCTGCAGATATTATTACTATTAATTGAGGTCTTGCCGTTGACATCACAGCTTTGGTGAAACCGGAATTTCCCACTGATCAGGTCGAAAACGCATTTAATGTTGCAGCTTGTTGAGGAGTGAACGGAACGTTTGTGTGCATTTTGTGAAAGCCTCTTTTGTTGGTTTATTTTGTAATATGGGATTCTGAGGTTTCTCACAAACTCCCCATTCTAATAAATGTGCAACAATTATTCTCCGGTAATCCCAGCAGAGGCAGGGGGCCTTCTGTAATACAAGGGAACCTCCAGCAATGGTTTTATTCCTTCCTCCTGAACACATCACTTACAATAACTGTACCCTTCCAGAGGGCAGCACCGGGTTTCTCTCTACATAGCCATTCTTCCGAGAGACATGTTACTGACCCCTGTGTTTGCGGGGACATAGGGAGCCTTATACTGGCCATTCTCAACCAGGGTTCCGTAAAACTCTAGAGTTCTTCCAGATGTTGCTTGGGGGTCCTTCAGCAATGAGCAATATCTGCCTCTCAGATAAGTAACCACTGAAACCAATGATCATTTTAGCAATTTTTAAGGAGGGAGTCTAGCCAATGACCACAAATGTAAGGAGCATTGCCACTGGTACCACTAATGTGCTATAAGCTGTACATATAGTAATTGTTAGCAGGGGTGTACATAGGTTGCCTACAGAATGTCAGCTAGGCAGTTGGCTGGCCCAGGCTGGAGAAGGGGTTAATGTTCTGCACCTCTGTCCCTAGGCTTTTTGGACCCAGGCTATCCACCCTGTGATATAAATAAGGGGGAAGGCTGGGTTCTGCAGCTTCGGCCTATTCAGGAAGATGCCGTGATTGCTGTAGAACACCAAAGGGAGGACTGCTGCTCCCTGCAGACCGGCGGAACAAACCTGGGTGTCCGGGGAACTACCAAGTCTTGGAGGATGCCACTAGCTAGTTGAGTTAGTTAAGAGAAAGTTTCATTGAAACTGTTCATGTTGAACGGTGCCACAAAATGTTCAAGTAAAGTTGCATCAACTGTCCTGAGCCTTTTCTGAAGTCATCTAAAGGGTTGCATGAAGGTTCCTGGCGTATGAAAGAACTAGGGTCAGTAAAGCACTTGTGGGGTATGAAACAAAGCACTACGGAAGGTCTACTCAGCAAAAAAAGCAGGAGGAACAATGCAGTTGATGTGGGTAACCAGAAATTGTGCAAGGTACATTGCAGCTAATTGTGAGGCATGGTACCTGGTGTAGGTGATGGGTCCTGCGGTAGTGAGGGGGGGTCTGGGGTCGTGATCTGGTTCCCTCCCCATCGGTTTGTTTCCCAAAGCAATCAGGACCATACTTGTGTGACGGAGACCCATAGCCTAGCCACATGGTATGGGAGAGAAGGAGTTAACTAGGGCAAACATGAGGTCTGCGCTAAGTGCACGGCGGGACCCCATTCTGTCACTAGGAATGAGGTGGTAGAGGTGCGCTGGACTGGTGGAGAGGGCCCGGGCTCAGCTGTGTCCCTTCTAATCACAATTACTGAAGGAAAGTGCGTGTAGTGATATGAGAAGGTACTTTACAGTGGAACTCTGTACATTTATTACTGCACACAGTGTAAAGCTCTCCTCTACGTCAGGGAACCGCCATATATTGTTTGATTCTCACATGAATGTGGTCCTCGCCTGGTCCCAGGAAGTGATGAGGCACTCCACGTGAAAGGTACCCCCCACGTGCAGGCTGAGTTTCCCCCACCAACAGGGGTTTCCTTAGACTGCAAATTATACTGTCATTGTCCCTTCTATCGGATAGATGTGGGGGCCTTTAACTGTCGATTGTATATTCCACTAGGGAAGTATAAGGGGCCTTAACCTGTCATTGTACCTTCTATTGGGGAGATGTGGGGGGCCTAATACTGTCATTGTCCCTTCTATCAGATTGATGTGGGGGGCCTTATACTGTCATTTTCCCTTCTATCAGGTCAATGTGGGGGGCCTAATACTGTCATTGTCCCTTCTATCAGATTGATGTGGGGGGCCTTATTCTGTCATTGTCCCTTCAAGCATTGTGGGGGGGTCCTTATACTGTCATTGTCCCTTCTGTCAGGTAGATATAGGGGGGCCTTATACTGTCATTGTCCCTTCTATCATGTTCATGTGTGGGGGCCTTATACTGTCATTGTCCCTTCTATCTGGTCGATGTAGGTGGGCCTTATACTGTCATTGCCCCTTCTTTCAGGCCGATGTAGGGGGGGCCTTATACTGTCATTGTCCCTTCCTTCAGGTCGATGTAGGGGGGGCCTTATACTGTCATTGTCCCTTCTTTCAGGTAGATGTAGGGGGGCCTTATACTGTCAATGTCCCTTCTATTGTGTAGATGTAGGGGGGGCCTTATACTGTCATTGTCCCTTCTATTGGGTAGATGTAGGGGGGGGGGGGGCTTATATTGTCATTGTCCCTTCTATCAGGTTTTAGTGTGAGGACCTTATACTGTCATTGTCCCTTCAATCAGGTTGATGTGGGGGGGCCTTATACTGTCATTGTCCCTTCTGTCAGGTAGATGTAGGGGGGCCTTATACTGTCAATGTCCCTTCTATCGGTAGATGTAGGGGGCCTTATACTGTCAATGTCCCTTCTATCGGTCGATGTGGGGGGGCCTTATACTGTCATTGTCCCTTCTGTCAGGTCGATGTGGGGGGGCCTTATACTGTCAATGTCCCTTCTATCAGGTAGATGTAGGGGGCCTTTATACTGTCATTGTCCCTTCTATTAGGTTGATGTAGGGGGGCCTTATACTGTCATTGTCCCTTCTATAGGGTAGATGTAGTCGGGCCCTTATACTGTCATTGTCCCTTCTATAGGGTAGATGTGTCGGGGCTTTATACTGTCATTGTCCCTTCTATCAGGTTGATGTAGGGGGGGGCCTTATACTGTCATTGTCCCTTCTATTGGGTCGATGTGTCGGGGCCTTATACTGTCATTGTCCCTTCTATTGGGTTGATGTGTCGGGGCCTTATACTGTCATTGTCCCTTCTATCAGGTCAATGTCGGGGGCCCCATATTGTCACAGGTATGAATTTTAACAATCAGTCAAGTGTAGGATTTGTGTGTTTCCCCAACCATCTGGATACCAGTTTCCTGTATTGTTTTGTAGCCCAGAAATTGGTACACAGAGGGTTGTAGAAACACAAAAATCCTACATTTTATGTTACAATTCTTACCCTTTAAAATGAATAAATACACATGTGCAGAAAATTAGAGAAAATAAAATACTTATAAAATCTATTCTGAGGTTTTTATGCTTTGTAGCCCCGAAGAAGGGGGTGATTTTGTACCCTGAAACACGTTGTCCGTTTTGTCTTTAAATTTTTTTTTTTCTTGCTGTGAATCCATTTTTATTATTACAAGATCTTGGACTCTTGGATGTTTAATGATTGCTCTCGTTAGATTATCTATACATGGCTTCTCAGTTCTGGGTTACCACTCTTGTTAAGGGGAGCTGGAACTTTTGTGTGCAGTGATCATTTTCCTGACCCATCGAAAACTAGCATACAGCGCCTTGTTTCCATTTTTCTTTGAACTATTGTGTACTGTTAGGGGGGTACAATTGGGGGAATCAATGGTGGAGAAGGATCTGAGGGGGTCAATGGTGGAGAAGGATCTGGGGGTTCTGGTAGATCACAAGCTTAATAATGGCAGCAATGCCAAGCTGCGGGATATAAAGCGAGCAAAATCCTCTCTTGTATTAGGAGAGGTATAGACTCCAGAGAGAGAGATATCATTTTTCCCGGTTCAAATCATTAGTAAGACCTCATCTGGAATATGCAGTTCAGTTTTGGGCTCCAATTCACAAAAAGAACATTGGGGAACTGGAGAAAGTACAGAGAAGGGCAACCAAACTGATACGAGCATGGAGGAGATCAGCTATGAGGAAAGATTAGAGGAAACTGAATGTTCTCTACTGAGAAGAGAGGAGATTAAGGGGGGATATGATCTCCATGTATAATACATAAGGGGGGGAGGTATATGATCTCCATGTATAATACATAAGGGGGATATGATCTCCATGTATAATACATAAGGGGGGATATGATCTCCATGTATAATACATAAGGGGGGATATGATCTCCATGTATAATAAGGGGGGACATAAGGGGGGATATGATCTCCATGTATAATACATAACGGGGATATGATCTCCATGTATAATACATAAGGGGGGATATGATCTCCATGTATAATACATAAGGGGGGGATATGATCTCCATGTATAATACATAAGGGGGGATATGATCTCCATGTATATAATACATAAGGGGGATATGATCTCCATGTATAATACATAAGGGGGATATGATCTCCATGTATAATACATAAGGGGGGATATGATCTCCATGTATAATACATAAGGGGGATATGATCACCATGTATAATACATAAGGGGGGATATGATCTCCATGTATAATACATAAGGGGGGATATGATCTCCATGTATAATACATAAATACTTAATTGGGATATGATCTCCATGTATAATACATAAGGGGGGATATGATCTCCATGTATAATACATAAGGGGGGATATGATCTCCATGTATAATACATAAGGGGGATATGATCTCCCATGTATAATACATAAGGGGGGATCTCCATGTATAAATACATATATATGATCTCCATGATCATCACCATGTATAATACATAAGGGGGGATATGATCTCCATGTATAATACAAAGGGGGATAATACATAAGGGGGATATGATCTCCATGTATAATACATAAGGGGGGATATGATCTCCATGTATAAATACATAAGGGGGGATATGATCTCCATGTATAATACATAAGGGGGATATGATCTCCATGTATAATACATAAGGGGGGATATGATCACCATGTATATAATACATAAGGGGGGATATGATCTCCATGTATAATACATAAGGGGGATATGATCTCCATGTATAATACATACATAAGGGGGGGATATGATCTCCATGTATAAATACATCAGTGGTTCATATAGTGAACTCGGTGTAGAGTTATTCCCCCTGAGGTCATCACAGAGGACAAGGGGGGCGCCCTTTATATCTGGAGAAAAAGAAATTTAATCTCCAAACATGGAAAGATTTCTTCACAGTAAGAGTTGTGAAAATGTGGAATAGACTCCCTCCAGAGTTGGTTGTGGCCAGCTCAGTGGATTGCTGTAGGAAAGTCCTGGATTCTTTCTTGGATACACAGAATATAACTGGATATAACATTTATAGGGAAGGTTGATCCAGGGAATATACGATTGCCTCTCGGGGGATCAGGAAGGAATTTTTTCCCAGCAGGGGCAAATTGGATCGTGCTCTGCTGGGTTTTTTTTTTTTGCCTTCCTCTGGATTAACTGTGGGTGCAGGATTATAACTTTTTTTTTTTTTTCTTGTGGTTGAACTGGATGGACTTTTGTCTTTCTTCGGCCAGACTAACTATGATCTATTATGATATTGTTGGGTTTGCTGTGTTTTTTTTCTGAGGGCTATAAATCCTGTTTAATGGCTGCTGTCATGGGGGTGCCTCATGTCCTAAGGACGGTGTGCAGCATATGGACACGGTCTAATGAGCCTTATGGGTCCATCTCTCCAGTCCATCTGCTTTGTACACAAAACCTCGGCAAACACATTTACTGGCCCGGCCGCACAAAGGAATATTGACAAATGCTTAGCAGCGGCTTTAGACCTCGGTGTCCCCGGCGCTGATAACTCATAATCTGATATTGTTTCCCAGGCCTGGCATTCAGCAAATCCCGGCTCTTAGAGAGGCACATGGAAACGCTGTTTGTTCAGTCCATGCAAATTCTTTGTGCAGGAAAAACATTTATACCGGCAATGAGTAATGAGCCTGCAGCTTGTGTCCATATGTCAGGCCGAGCCTTCAGGACGGAGAAGGAACACCTCCGCCACCTCCACGTGTCCGACACATGTCCCTCCTCACATGTACATGTGGAGCCAGATTCTCCGTCATATGTGGCGTGATCGAGCGCTGTGTGGAATGTCGCAGATTACATCACATCTTATCCATATTTAATGGCAACGCCGCGGTTCACACTATGGGGTGGATTTACTAAAGGCAAATAGACTGGGCACTTTGCAAGTGCAGTTGCTCCAGATCTTAGTAAATGAGGAAAAGCTTCACTTTGCAAAGAATACCCAATCACGTGCAAGGAAAAAAGAAAAAAAAAACAGCTTTTTTTTCTTGCACATGATTGGATGATCGAAGTCAGCAGAGCTTCAGCTCATTTATTAACCCCCCCATGAGTTGTCAGTCCTCCTCTGGCTCGGGGACATGTACTCACACAGGTGCCATAATGGGAGCAGTGGCACTGTCTGTGCACAGACGGACTTGTAGATATCAATGGAACACGAGTCCATTGGCACATCTTCCAGCTCTCTAACTGAAAGCCCATACAGAGGGATATGGAGAGAGCGTGCAGGAGCCTGACATTGCACCTGTGATCCATGCATCGTGGGTACAATGCTTTGTAAGCTCCTGTGGAAAAAATAATAAATCTACTTTCTTTTTCCTGCAAGGTGAACTTGGGCTTTAATGAGTCTTATGATCTCTATGAATTATGTAGAATATTTACTGTACCTGGTATCATTTCTCCGGAAAGGGACTCATCGATGGGGCGCTACCCAGGGCCAGATCTAGCCTATCTGATCTGGGGGTGCAATAAAGAAAATTCAGGGGGCGTAATATCAACACTGTGTGTGAGTCACTGACAGTCTGTCACACTGTGTCACCACCTGGGAAACACTAGTATGTATTAGGCTGTCATTAAACTGGGTGATTAAACAGAAAATGTACCCCCTTATATCAGGTGTCCCTACCGAAGTCCTCCTTTAAATCAGGAGTTCTCATCAGAGTCCCTCTTTGTATAAGTATACCCATCAGAGTGCCCCCTTACATCAGGGTCCCTATCAGAGTGCCTCCTTACATCAGGGTCCCTATCAGAGTGCCCCCTTACTTCAGGGTCCCTATCTGAGTGCCCCCTTACATCAGAGTCCCTATCTGAGTGCCCCCTTACATCAGGGTCCCTATCAAAGTTCCCCCTACATCAGGGTCCCTATCAGAGTGCCCCCTTACATCAAGGTCTCCATCAGAGTGCCCCCTTACAACAGGGTCCCTATCAGAGTGCCCCCTTACATCAGAGTCCCTATCTGAGTGCCCCCTTACATCAGGGTCTTAATCAGAGTGCCTCCTTACATCAGGGTCCTTATCAAAGTGCCCCCTAAATCAGGGTCCCTATCAGAGTGCCCCCTTACATCAAGGTCTCCATCAGAGTGTCCCCTTACATCAGGGTCCCTATCAAGGTGCCCCCTTACATTAGGGTCCCTATCAAAGTGCCCCCTTACATCAGGGTCCCTATCAGAGTGCCCCCTTACATCAAGTGTCTCCATCAATGTCCCCCCTTACATTAACTGTTCCCATTAGAGTGCCCCTTACATATTATCAGTTACCCCATCAGAATGCCCCCTTTTATTATGTTTCCCCCTCAGAGTGCCCCTTACATCAGGTATTCCTAATCAAAGTGATCCCTTACATGGATTGTCCCAATCATTAACCGTCTTCATCAGCATGATCCCTTACATGGATTGTCCCAATCATTAACCGTCTTCATCAGCATGATCCCTTACATGGCTTGTGGCCAATCATTAACCGTCTTCATCAGCATGATCCCTTACATGGCTTGTCCCAATCATTAACCGTCTCTCATCAGCATGATCCCTTACATGGATTGTCCCAATCACTAACCTCCTCTTCATCAGCATGATCCCTTACATGGATTTCCCAATCATTAACTGTCTTCATCAGCATGATCCCTTTGTACAATGGGAGCAATGGCTGAATTACCATTTTACCCAATCATTAACCACAAGGTCTTCATCAGCATTCCTGATCCCTTACATGGCTTGTCCCAATCATTAAATCCGTCTTCATCAGCATGATCCCTTACAACACAGGATTGTCCCCATATCATAATCATTAACCGTCTTCATCAGCATGATCCCTTACATGGATTTGTCCCAATCATTAACCGTCCAATGCTTCATCAGCATGATCCCTTACATGGATTGTCCCAATCATTAACCGTCTTCATCAGCATGATCCCTTACATGGATTGTCCCAATCATTAACCGTCTTCATCAGCATGATCCCTTACATCAATTGCCCCCATAAGGCTGGCTCATGAATGAGTAGATGCACTCTCAGAGACCTGGGCGGGGGGGGGCTCAACTAAAATCTTGGGGGGGGGGGGCAATAAACCACCCCAGCACCCCCCTAGATCCGGGCCTGGTGCTACCTGTGCTCTAGAGAAGAGAGTGGCAATCTGTGGCCTTCCAGAGCTTCTCTCTGCATATAATTATCATAGTATCAATACCTGACATTCCAGATCTCCTAATCTCACATCGGTCTCCTATGATGTAATAAACGGGTCACTCCTCAGAAAAAAAACTATAACCTACATTCCAGCGCGGTGTCATTCATGCGTTCACATCTTGGAATGTGCCGGGTCATCATAGCATTTCAATACATACACTGCACACATTGCACTGTTCCCCCCGCGGCCTCGCTCATAGGTTTGTACAATGGAGCAATGGATTGTGAATTACCATTTTACCTCTTAGATTCCAGGAGCATACAACTGTGAGGCACAAGGCGTTCCCAGATATCGAGGTTCCTGCGACTCCATCAGTGAACCTCATGGACTGATTGCTCTTGTGAAAGGCCGGCAATTTGCCCATGAAGAAGCTGTGTACACAGACTCCATTCTCCAGGGTTCGAGTTTAGTATGATTTAATCTACCAACACAGGTATGGGGCTTCTGTTCACTGAACCATATCATGGATTGTTCCTACAGGTCTTTAGAAATTGTTACTGAAGATTTAGCATGACAAGAAAGAAAAAAAAAAAAAAAAATATAGTATATATATATACTGTATATATATATATATATATATACTGTATACACAGTGAGGAACAGAAGTATTTGAACACTGTGCGATTTTGCAAGTTCTCCCACTAAGAAATCATGGAGGGGTCTGACATTCACATTGTAGGTGCATTCCCACTCTGAGAGACAGAATAAAAAAAAAAATTTCAGGAAATCCCATTGTATGATTTGTAAAGAATGTATTTGTCTCGCACTGCTGAACAGAAGTATTTGAACACCTAAGAAACAGCAAGAATTCTGGCTCTCAAAGACCTGTTACTGCGCCTTTAAAAAGTCCACCTCTACTCCACTCATTAATCTAACTTAGTAGCACCTGTCTGTCTGAGCTCTTTAAAGACACCTGTCCACCCCACAGTCAGTCAGACGCCAACTACTACCATGGGCAAGACCAAAGAGCTGTCAAAAGACACCAGAGACAAAATTGTGGGCCTCCACAAGGCTGGAAAGGGCTACGGGGCAATTGCCAAGCAGCTTGGTGACAATAGATCAACTGTTGGAGCAATTGTTAGAAAAGGGAAGATGCTAAAGACGACTGTCAGTCTCCCTCGGACTGGGGCTCCATGCAAGATCTCACCTCGTGGGGTATCACTGATGATAAGAAAGGTGAGGAATCAGCCCAGAACTACAAGGGAGGAGCTGGTCAATGACATGAAGAGAGCTTGGACCACAGTTTCAAAGGTCACTGTTGGTAGAACACTACGCCGTCATGGTTTCAAATCATGCATTGCACGGAAGGTTCCCCTGCTCAAGTCATCACATGTCCAGGCCCATCTGAAGTTTGCCAATGACCATCTGGATGATCCAGAGGAGGCATGGGAGAAAGTCATGTGGTCAGAGGAGACCAAAGTAGAACTTTTTGGTCTGAACTTCACTCGTCGTGTTTGGAGGAAAAAGAAGGATGAGTTGCATCCCAAGAACACCATCCCTACTGTGAAGCATGGGGGTGGTAACATCATGCTTTGGGGTGCTTTTCTGCGAAGGGGACAGGACGACTGCACTGTATTAAGGAGAGGATGAATGGGGCCATTTATTGTGAGATTTTCAGCAACAACCTCCTTCCCTCAGTCAGAGCATTGAAGATGGGTCGTGGCTGGGTCTTCCAAGATGACAACGACCCGAAGCACACAGCCAGGAGAACCAAGGAGTGGCTCTGTAAGAAGCATATCAAGGTTCTGGAGTGGCCTAGCCAGTCTCCACACCTAAATCCAATAGAACATCTTTGGAGGGAGCTGAAACTCCGTGTTGCTCAGCGACAGCCCCGAAATCTGCCAGATCTAGAGGAGATCTGTGTGGAGGAGTGGGCCAAAATCCCTGTTGCAGTGCAAACCTGGCCAAGGACTACAGGAAACGTCTGACCTCTGTAATTGCAAACAAAGGCTTCTGTACCAAATATTAACACGGATCTTCTCAGGTGTTCAAATACTTCTGTTCAGCCGTGCAAGACAAATACATTCTTTACAAATCATACAATGTGATTTCCTGAATGTTTTTTTTTAATTCTGTCTCTCAGAGTGGGAATGTCCCTACGATGTGAATGTCAGACCCCTCCATGATTTCTAAGTGGGAGAACTTGCAAAATTGCAGGGTGTTCAAATACTTCTGTTCCTCACTGTATACTGTATATATATATATATATATATACTATATTGCCATAAAGTATTGGGTCCCCCTCCAATCATTGGATTCAGATGTTCCAATCACCTCCATTACCACAGTTGTATAAAATCAAGCCCCTAGGCATGCAGACTGCTTCTACAAACATCTGTGAAAGAATGGGCAGAGGCATGATTAGACTTGTAGTACTTTGACAGCTGAGATGTTTCTACACCTTGATAATCCAGCTGTGTTAAATTAATTTGATTGGACATGATATGGAAAGGCACACACCTTTCTATAAAAGACCTCCCAGCTGACAATGCATACTGTATCAGAGCAAAAGCCATGAGGTCAAAAGAACAGCCTGTGGAGCTCAGATACAGGATTATTGCAAGGAGCTGATCTGAAGAAGGCTACAAAAAAGGCTGTTGCACTGAAGGTTATCAAGAGCACAGAGACCTCCATAATTCTCAAATGGAAGAAGTTTGTTCGAACAACGACTTTCCAAGAGCTGGTCACCCGGCCAAACTGAGCAATCGGGGAAGAAGGGCCTTAGTAAGGGAGATGGCCAGGAATCTGATGGTCACTCTGACTGAGCTCCAGAGATCCTGTGTGGAGATGGGACAAAGTCCCAGAAGGACAACCATCACTGCAGCCCTCCGCCGATCTGGGCTTTGTGACAGAGCGGCTAGAGGGAAGCCTTTCCTCAATGCAAAACACATAAAGGCCTGCTTAGAGTGTGCTAAAGCTTTTTCCTTGCTAAAGAACCTTCTTTTTATCCCGTTATTATGGGTAAATTTCTGCTTTAAGTAAATAAATAAAGTAAATAAAGTGCACAAGATGAAAACCACAGGCAGTGATAAAAGTGATAAGTGAATGTCCAAAATTATTGAACGTGAGGATCATAGGATCTCCAAGAAGTGGTCAATCAATATCCGGAGTGGTAGATGGGGTGACCAGTATGAAGTAAATTGCGCACTTACCAGAAGCGCGACTTAATCACGCAGTATAGATAAGCTATATCATCAGTGCAGTCATGGCATCCACTCTGGAAATGGTCAGATTCTTGCTCCCTTCAGGGTCTTCCAAAATGGTATCAGCAACATCAGGTCTCCTTTATGGTTGGCTCTGCGAATGGTGAGGCCCACAAGAGCCCAAAAAAGGATGCCACAATAGTGTAATACTGTTTACCAGAGGAAAGTTTATTCCAAAAAAGGGGGGGTACAGTGACAAAAGATTCAGAAGACTGACCATGAATCCAAAAGATGGCCGCCAGCGGCGGCGTGATGTCAGGGTGCTGTAGCTCCTCCCTTACGCGTTTTGTGCAATGGCACTTAGTCATAGGGGGTATGCTTAGAACAATACTAATAGAAGTCTATTATGGTGCTTCCTAACCGCACCTGCATTGGTTGTGGGATGCTTGTTAAGAATTAGCTGTGCTTTGTTTTTTGAGGCATTGGTGGCATGAAATATTCCAGGAAACACTGGGAAACCAAAAAGACAGCAGAAAAGAGGTCATCAGCGGTCAGTTCTGGTTCATGTGTATATAAACCGGGAGTGTCTGCTGCAGACATCGCATGTAATGCGCAGCCTCAGGGAGCAATACAGAAGCCAGGTAGGCAGAACATGAGCGGGGGCTGGAGCAGGAAACTGAGTGGAGAATTAACAGAACCGAAAGCTAAGCAGAGGATCAACAGAGTGGGGACCGGAGCAGGAAACTAAGCAGAGGAACAAAAGAGCCGAAAGCTGAGCAAAAGATCAACGGAGTGGGGACCAGGGTGGGAAAATAAGCGGAGGACCAACAGCCAAAAGCTGAGCAAAGTGGGGTCCAGGGTGG